ATTTAATCAGGCAAATAGACAACAGACAAAAAGCTCTCTGTGTATGGTGTACAGAATCCAAGTTTGTTACCTCTCTATAGGTCGGATATTTGGCACTTTATAAGGATTTTCGCGTAGTCCACAATTCTCTAGGTAGGACTCTTACTCCTCCATTAGAGCCTCCTATAGTATTTTCTGATATGTTATCTTGCAATCACCCTCACTAACTGTAACAAAGTTGAGTGATTTTTACGCATGGCGAATTCCAATATGACCGAGATAAAGCATGGCTTATGCTGAAGCCGCAGAGTAGAGCCGACTATAGCTAGTCTGGTTTCTTCCTTTTATTGCTCTTACCTCGGTTCCTCCTATACAGACCATAAGCGTGATAGAGACCGGGTTGACAATTAGCATGGTTCTGACCGAGCTAGCTGCAGTATTTCCATGACGGGCTAAACTCTGAATGTGGCAACCTGGCGACCGAGGCTATCCGCATGTGCTTTCCCTGACCGAGATAAAATATGCTCTCTGGGACCGGACCAATTTAAGGCCTTTTTATTCAGCCTTCTACTGTGACCCATAACGGCCCAATTACCCAACTCGCCCAATTTTCATATAAATTACCCTCTCATCAAATAATCACTGTCATTCAAGAACCATAAGGTTAATCTTGGGCACATTAAAAATAAGGGAGACTTTGTGCTCAAAAAAATAAAAATAAGGGCGACTTAAATCCTACTAAGTGGATTTAATTTTGAATAAATTTTTTTTAATAATTAATGACATTTTTCATTATACAATTACGAAAAAGACTCAGATCCCCTTTGGAAGTCACCCCACGACCCCCTTTGCCTTTTGATTGGTCAATTTTTTTTTTTTTGTTCTTCTTCCCGCACCTCCAACCACCCCACACATAAATTCCCAAGAAATTCTCAGTAAATTATTCAGTGAATTCTTAGAAAATTCCCAGAAAATTCTCAGTAAATTCTCAATTAATTACTTAGTAAATGCTTAGTAAATCCTCAGTAAATTATTTAGAAAATTCGAAGTAAATTCTTCATAATTTAACGTGAAATTACTCAGTAAAATATCAGTCAATTACTCATTGAATTCTCAGTAAATTACTCAGATCATTACCCAGTAAATTGGTAAGTAAAGTACTCAGTAAATTCAGAGTAAATCACTCAGTAAATTACTCCGTAAATTACTCACTAAATTCTCATTAAATTACTTAGTAAATTCTCAAAAAATTCGCAGTAAATTATGAAGAAAATTGCATAGAAAATTCTACTAAGATGACAATGACCTCGGCTAGGAGGGACAACACTTGACTAAGCTGTGCCACATCTTGGCCTAGATGCGCCACACCTCGGCCTAGGTCATACCAGTTCCAGGACGAGATCACTTGGGTGCAAGGTAACATCTCGGCTAATGTGGTCAAGGCAAGGGCTGAGGTCAACAAGGGGTTTCAAGATACTAATACTAGACTAAGGATGACCTCGGCATTGGAATAACATCGGCTAGTATAACTCAAGCAAGGCGTAACCTAGGTTTCGCATTAAGGGAGAAACAAGACAAGCACACTACACTTTAGACAAATCACAAGGCTTCAAATCAAGACATGGATCGCATTAGCTCAAGCGAAACAAATCACAACATACACATGCAAGCTAAACAAGTCATAATCTTACCGATGCTCATGAACATGATGAGGACATAAAGTGTGGGTTCCTACACCAGCAGAGCCCATATCTATATATTTTACAAAAGAATGTTTTTAAGGAGAGATATTATGAAAGTTTCAAAATTTCATATAAAATTATTTTTAGAATCAAAACTTCTATTGGCTAGCTTATTTAAGTATAAAATTTAAATTCATAATTATCACAATACAAATTTAAATTTGCCATAATTATTTCATGATTTAAGAATTTCATTTAAATTATCATGATTTATCGCAAGAATTAAGGATTTCAAAAAGGAAAACTCTCTTAACTCAATGCAAAATTATCACAATACATATACCTACAATCGTCAGGACTTATCGCCTTCCTTCAGGTTTTCAAAAAAAAAAAAAAAAAAAAAAAACTCTTTTCCATGCCTCCTGAAACTGATAGAAATGGGGAGGTGATGTGGGTAAGAGCAGAAAAAAAATTAAAAAGAAAAAGAAATTCCTTCTGCTTCTTCGCATCCCCAAAGAACTAACTGAACTAATAGTAGCTTTGGTTCTTCGATGTAAAAAATACAAACAACAATTGCAAAACCAGTGAACCGCCTTCTTTGTCTTTACACGCGTCTAAGGCCGAAGCGGAACCTATGAGCTTATGTAGAATGAAAAGCTGCATCAGACAAACCGATGTTTAAAAACTCGCTGTAAACACTATTTTAAAATTGAAATTAGTACTTTTATCAGAACTTATCAAAATATCAACAACTGGTAAGAATTCGAGCCCATGATCTCATATAATAAAGTAGAAAGGGATTTTATTCAACAGCCAAATTTAAAAATTAATAAAGAATAATAATAATTCCACGATTCATTACTCAAGTAAAAAGTTAGAAGATGAGTTTGAAACATATGAAAGAAAGGGGGGAAAAAAAAATTATAAATTTCAGGACCTCAACATTTGTATTCTTTACATGACAACTAGTCACCTCTACAAATACACTGCTTGAATCAGCTATATCAGAACATCAAAAGGAATATCACTGTCCGAATGTTGGCACGTATCAAGGTTTTGGACACAGCTAAAACCTTTATTCATAAAGGGTCCTGTTAGCAAGGATACTAAGGTTGCAAGAACAGCCTTCACTTGAATTACAAGGAGAAATTAGAAAGTGCCCCATCAACCATGCAGTGATAATGAACTAATCATGCTTTATTATTTGAAATCCCATTCTCCAATTGAATACATTTTACATTTTATGCCATCATACTAAAACATCAGATCTTCTATTGTTCTCCAAATATTCTCATGTGATACTAGTACTCTCCTACAACTTTGATTCCAAATGGAGGATTGAGAATGTAGCCAAGCCTGTCAGAAGTTTAATTCCTTGAGGTTTTCCCTTACTAGACAAGACCTATGATAGCACATATTACTAGAATCACAACAACGGAACCTATCCCTCAAATCAGACCTATAAGTTGTCATATATCAAAGTAGAATAACTTAGAATCCAGGAAGCATTTCTTTTTCTTTTTTTTTGATAAATAAAATCCAGGAAGCATTTTGATGGGGAACATAAAAGAATTGGACGAAGATTAGGGATTAGTTTATTGTTATTTTTTATTTATAATTTTATTGTCTTGTTGGTCTTTAATTATGGTGGTTTCATCTTTGGAAAGTATTAATTAGGGCTTTCTTTGGATGCTTATAAACAGGCTATATGCAATAGGTTTAGGTAGGTAGACTTGAATGTTGAATTGAGAATATTGATATTGAGATATAGGGTTTGCTTTCTTTTCTTTGGGTGTGGGGACTTTTCCTTCCTTTAACATTTATTTTTACGGTCTACATCACATTTACTTCCCCCAAATGCTCACAGTACAATCACTGGCTTGTAGCTAACATTTTCAGCTATTTATCAAATTTTCCCCGTGTAACCTATTAGAGTTACTTCTTGCACATGAAGCATTTATTCACCCTTATTTCTTGGTGGTCTTTTATCATTCATCATTACTTAAAAGGCATTCATTCTTCAAGGATTTCAGCTTTATAGTGTGCTGAAGGAAGCTTCTGCAAACAAATGAGTCGAAAAGGCATCTAATTTAGCACCCAGACAAATCTAGTTCTACAAACTTTATGTACATCAACTTTATTAATGCTATATTGTTAACAACCATCTCCTCTAAAATTGCAAGCTGTTAAGAAATAAACATAACCATATATGTCAAGCCGCCTTAACACCCTCCTTACGTGCGAACCAAAATCTTGAACCAATGACTTCCTGGAACTAGAGCTGTAATACCTTGTTATTGTCAACAACCATTTCATCTAAATCCAAGTTTGAGATAATGGGTGACGTAACATGGCATTCGAGCTTTGGATAATTGTATCTCTAAGAATTACATTATCTCCTCTCCCCCGCCCATCTTGCCAATATTTGCCTGGTAGAAAGCTATCACTTGCACCAAAGCTTGTGCACCAGTTGGCAGTTACAATAAACCAAAAACGATGAAACGTTCGAAATGTTTGACTAATCCCAAAACATAGTGTGTGTGCTAGGTCAATAGTAGTATCACAAGCATTATTGGATATTTCAGCACTAGAACTCATGAATATCATAAATGATCATCAATAAGGGAAACAAATGTGACATAGTAAAGTAAACAAACTAAAGAAAGTAACACTAGCCAAGTTACAAAGTAATATGTATCTGATATCTGACAGAAGGGTGTTTTCACAAATGATAGATGACTAGTGTGCAAAGATTTAAAAAGGATGACCCAAACCCTCTTCTGTGGTTACAATTTCCAATTTCTTTTTGAGTCCTGCTACAGACATACCATTTTTTACTCCATTTTACACCACCTACTCACAATGGGAGTGAGCCCCACATCACCACATGGTGCCACTCCCATTGTGAGTTGGCGGTGGTGTAATCTTACACTTTTCTAAATAGCCCAAAGGCCAAAATGATGATGTTTGCAATCAACTGGCATGCTAAAGCCTATGGAGCAATCAGTTCCACTGGAAGGTCCACACATGTTTTATCATCTACAAGGACCCAAGGATCCTAGACTACAATTTATGTTCTCCACCTGAAGTGGCTAGGAGACAAAAATTGTGCCTAAATAGAAAAGAGAAAAAAAATGAAGAAGAAATAAAGATAGATGTTCCACTGGTTTATTTCATAAAGCCTGAATATTCAGAATTCCACATAGCAACTTCATAGACTTCTCCTAACAAATTTTAGGAGTTATCACTTCACCCAAGAACAAGGACACAAGTCAATAAATCAATGAAACAATTTCACAGAGAAGATCTGGAATAAGGAAACACGTCCCAAAACACCATGTTCATTAAAAGTGGTTTGTTAAAGAAGTGATTGTAATTAAGAATCTGCGGAACCAAGGTACCGTATCATTCTAGGATGACATTATTAAAGTTCTGTCTTAAGAAAAGGAAAGAGGTTTCAATACAGAAAAGTTGATATTGGTAAAGAATTGTAGTAAAGAAAATGAAAACAGAATGTCATTTCTTACCATGTAGGAGTACTGATAGGGGCAATGCAGCAGTAACAGTGAGTCCATTTCTTGTTCATCAGAAATCAGATCAACAACGAGAAACTCACGCGTGCTCCAGGGCATGATAAAGTTTTGAAACTCGTCGTCGAAGTAACGGCTCTAATCGGAAAGAAGGAACACCACTATGCCACCTTTTAGCTTCATACATCTCGTTCCACGCCTGTACTATCTCATCAATGTTGAACCCTAAGCCTACAGTTATAGTAAGTGATCAGAGATATTCCAAGCAAAAGTGAAAGAGAGATGGAGAAAAATTAAGCAATATCATATACTCTACCTTCAAGTGCAGTATCATTGGAACAATGGTTCTTTATCATAACAGCAATATCCGTTGGAGAAGCTCCGGCAAGTTCGAACTTTTCAACCGCAACCTCCAAACATTCTTGCCAGACCGGAAGCCCTAATTTGAATTCCATAATTGACCGTTCATAGAGCATTGTACCCCACAAAAGGTTAATCTGGGACCTCGCGTTTGCAGCCAAATCTGCAGCTTCTTCTGCAGATACATCTTTATATAATGCATCCAAACCAAACTTCTGAATTAGCGTTTTAACTTTATTTGGCTTCGATAGTTCATTTAGACGCTTCTCCTCGGCTTCCTCCCACATCTGCATTCCAGTCTCCATATTGTTCTCGGCGTTGTTATAAAGCTGAAGAACATCTGTAGTAGGCCAAGTTTCAAGATCAACATCGGTGCTGATTGCATAACACCAAGAGAGTTTTGCCTGCTCGAACTGTTGTTGCCCAAGCGCTAGAACGCTTTCGAAGAAATCTGGCTTAATTCTCAACGCTTCTTCATATCTCTTTCCTGCTTTCAAGTATTCCTTTTGAGCCCAATCATATGCGGTTTCAACCATTTCAAGTACTGATTCTCTAGAAGCATCTTCTGTGAAGTACACCCTTTTTCTTGCCCGGGACATGTGAACATTTCCCCAATTGAACAAGGCCAAAGCTGCCATCTCCTGAAACTTCTCCGCTGCTGTGTGAAAGAGCTCTTGGGCTTCTTCACTTGTAACTGTCTCTTCCATCGCCTCAGTGTAGAGCTTCATCCCAAGCTCATGAAGGTCCAAATATGCATCAGAATTAAACCCAACATAGTTATTGAAAATCTGAGCAAACTCAACAATCCAGTCATCAATGCAAGTTGGACCCATTTCAGTTTTCTTACCTTTCCCAATACTTCCATTCTCAGTAATGTTATTTTGTTTGGTATTAGGCTTGTTCACCTCCTCTTCCCTTTTAACCTTATCATAGAAAGGATCTTTCTCTGGACTGACTTCAAATATATACAGCCTGACAGAATTCGGTTGTTCAGCAGATGCTTCAGCCCACCTCAGCTCTTCGTTAGTGGTGATCGTGACCATATCACCTTCTTGGTCCCTGTATTTGATAAGTACGGCTTTTGAACTCGGAAAGCGATCACATATAATCTCTCTCAATTTCAAAAGGCTGCAATTGAAAGGCAACTGTGCCCATCTTATATCATCCCCAAATACCAATTTAACAGTTCTTTTAGGCTCTTCTTCCAAAACATTACTTATTTTTTCCCTCACAACCAGTTTATCTTCCGCATTCTTCTCCTCAACTTTGTCCTCACCTTTGTTTTCATTAGTTTTCTGTTCCGCATCCTTCTCCTCAACTTTGTCCTCACCCTTGTTTTCATCAGTTTTCTGTTCCGCATTCTTCTCCTCAACTTTGTCCTCACCATTGTTTTCATCGGTTTTCTGTTCTGCATTCTTCTCCTCAACTTTGTCCTCGCCCATGTTTTCATCAGCTTCCTCTTCTACCTCTTTCTCCTCAACTTCATCCCTGGCATTAGTTTTCTCTTCTACCTTCATCTCCTCAGCTTTGTCCTCGGATTTTTTTTCATCAGCTTCCTCTTCTACCTCCTCCTCGATTTTTTCCTCAGTTTTGTCATCAGGCTTCTCCTCAATTTTTTTGTTCTTCTTCTTTCGGGGCTTCTCTTTCACTAAATTTGGCAGATTTGAAGCACAAGGTGGTTCAACATATTCCGGAACTAAATCAACTGCCATATCATTTGTTCTGGTGCCTTTTTTCTCAATGGTTGTTTTCACTCGTTCCTCAATCTCCGTTGCCATGATATTATTCGGTTCCATTTTCAACACTGTACTTACATCTCTCAGTGCAAAATCCAGCCTATTCAAAGCCTCGTAACATCTAGCTCTCTTCAAGAGTGCTTTACTGTACTTGGGCGTGACTTCAAGAGCTAAATTGCACTCGTGGATTGCCCTAGGATATTCACCGAGACCCATCTGCATATAGCAAGCGGCCATGTTACTCCTAAGATAGGATACATCTATGTGGTTTCTCGGAAGCAATTTGATAGCTTTCTCGTATTTTAACATGGCTCCTTCATAGTCCCTCTTCTGAAACAACTTGTTCCCCTCGTCTTTCAATTCCTGGGACATCAAAATGAATACTTCTGTATCTTTATCATACACTTTCAGGTTATTTTCCCCAACTTTACTTTCTTTCACACTTGAATCACCCGGTTTTTTTCCCACCTCTTTCTTCTTCTTCTTCCCCATTTGCTTCCCCATCACAAACCCAACAATTCCAAATGACCAAAAACGTCAAACCTGGATTTCCTAAACTACAACTTTACTTTGAATCAAAATCCTACTGATCCAATCCAATCAAACATAAAATCACCACAACCCAAAGACCATTGCAGCATAAAAACCTCCAAAAAGGTGTGAATCAAGACATCAAATACATATTTTTCACAAATTTAACTTATATAAAATTGTATCGTATCGTATCTTCCAAATCCAATTAACCACATAAGAAAATGAAGAAAATTTGCATACCCACCATGCCAAACCCTATCACCTAACAACTCATCTAAAACCCAGTAACCAAATCTACATAAAACCTCAAATCAGGTGTAAACTTTGGCGAAAGAAGCTCACAAAACCCTAGTTTAGACACAAACTCAAATGGGTTCTGTTCATTATCATATAATATGCACATTCAAAACACCACAGAATTTCCAAAACCATAAAGAAAATAAGGAATTTTCCCTTCCCTCCAAATTAGGATTTTTTGATGTTAACCCAGAACAAAAAATACAAATCCCAATTCAGAGAGAGAGAGAGAAACTGACCTAATTCAGCTACAAACACCTATTCTTCCATACCCAAATCTTTCTTTTAGATAAATACTTGAAAAGGAAACTTATCTGTGAGACAGAGTCCCCCTCATGAACCTTCAAACTTTCCAAGAAATTTTCCGGGAAAACCAAGATAGAAACAGTAAGAAAAAGAAAAGGAAATTTTTTTTGCTTCTGTATGAGAATAGAGATGTATGTATGTATGTCTCGCTTTGGTTCTGCAGAAATGGAAGGAAAACCGACCAAATCATGTTGGTTATGTGTTGGCTTCTTTATTTTTTTATTTATATATATTTTATTTTTGTGTTGTAAAAAGGACTTTCACTGCTTAACGTAAACGCCACCAAAAAACCACGTTCTGAAAAAGTCGTTATTATTTTAAGTAAATTATGCTAGAAGCCCCTGAGCTTTATATTTTTTTCTGATTAAGCCCTAATCTCAATTTTCTTTCAATTTAATCCTTTAAGTTTTAAAATTGGTTCAATGCATTACTTTTCAACAATTATGGTCCTGTTTGACTCAATAGGGGTTGTTTATAATTTTTTTTATTTATCTTTTGTATTGGAAGCCTACATCAATGTTTAGGCTTCGTTTGGAATAATGGGTTGGGTGGGTTTGGGGCTATTTTAGTCACAAAAAAATAAAATAAATATTTTAATTAAATAAGACAAAATATAACATTCAAACCATAATTATTACATTTTTTTCTCACAAAAAGTCAAAAAAACTAAAAAAACTCTTTCCAAACGAGGCTTTTTAGTTCCAGGCTAAAATAGCCAAAAAATTAACCCACTTTTCAAATGAACCCTTAGTATACATAAATAGTTTAAATATATTTAAAAAAAAAACTAATTATTTGAAAGTTGATAAAATGATTCTTTAGCTTTTGTTTTATTTGTTTATTTATTAGGCTCGATTTGGGAATAAAAGAAAAAAACTGCATTTTGCAGCTTGGGCCAAAAAAGTCAAAAATATTTTTTTTGTCATCAAACCATTTGGGGAGCTTCTATGTGCACAACAAAATATACACTTTTTGCACATCCTCCTCTCTATATTTTTTGCACATCCTCTTCATTAAGTGTATGTATAGAGTAGGTTTGGTGTGGGTAAATAGAAGCTCCCTAAAGTTTAGGATAAATTACACTTATACCTCTTAAGGTTTGACTTTAATATACGTCACTCATTGACGTTTGAAAAATTATACTAACTCTCCTGTCATTGTAATTATTTAGACGGAATGAAAATATTGAACTCATGTACTATCTTTTTGCTTGTTTTGTTTTACTTCCTCTTTTTTCTTTTATTTTTTTTATTTTTTTTTCTTTCTTTCTTTCCTTTCCTTTGCTTTATTTTTTTTAATGTAAATTTCTATATTTTTTTACTAGAAGTTGTTGCATTTTATATAAATAGGGGATTTGTGAAATAAGACTATTAACGACATTGATTAAAATGTAATTTTCAAAACGCTAGGGGATGATGAGGTGTAATTTGGATCAAATCTCAAGAAGTGTCACTGTAATTTATCCTAAAGTTTATAATTTTATTTTTTAATATTTATATGTTAATCATTAATTAAAAAATAATTTTTTAAAACAATCAGGTGAAATTTCCCAAAATTATTTGATGGTTGAGCAATAATAAAAACACAGTAATAAAATAGAGAATGAGACATAAATGTTTCTTAAATGGTGGATCATGTGGGTTCCATATTTATGTCCCACCTCTCTGGTCATGTTGGTGCTTCCATGTGGGTTCCAAATTGGTGCTTTTGTAGTCAAAGATTCTTGCTTGCCACTATTTTTTTTTTTTTTGGGATAAATTACGTGATATTTTTGAGATTAGAATTTGTTTTTAATAATTTTTATAAATTTAATATAATTATATTAATTTTTTTAATATTTTAATTTATATAATATTTTGGTCCAATTTTATTATTAGTTATAGGATGCAAAAATAATATTATCATCATTTTTATAGTAAAATGTATATTTTATCTTTTATTTCTATAATTTTATATCATTTATATTAGTTCAGGTCTCTTAATCTTACTAAAAATAAAAGTTAGTATAATTATGTCAAAATTATAAAACTTATTGTATTTTTTTTCAAACTTTAAGAAAAGTCAATATAATTTACTCTTTTATTTATCAGAATATTTAGAGACTACTTATTATGAAAATTTGTCAAGAAAATTACTATATATGAAATAGCGTGGTTACAATATAATTTGCGTATTATGTAGTCTAAGGCCAAGTTTGGCAAATTCATAAAAAGTCAAAAAGTTATTCAAAAAGTTAAAAAGTTAATACTATTCTCCAAAAGTCAACAATTACGGCTGCACAACTCCCAATCTTAATTTTTTCCTGCAAATCAATTTTTACAATTTTTTATTACACATTTTTCTATAAAAAGTCAAAAAGTTAACCCAAACCTCCATATTTTTTCTTTCTCAATTTTTTAGTCCAAAAAGACAAAAAGTACACTTATTTAGGACACCCCAAACAACTCCTAAATTTGACAAAAAAAACTAAGTAAATTAATTATAATTTATATTTATAATTTACTTCTTCTATCGAATTAATCTCGAAGTTTTGATTGTATCATTTTTTGTTTTTTTTGTCATTTTCACACTTTGTTAATCTATTTGATAACATCATTTAAGAAATTTAATAAAAATTAAATACAAACTAGTTCATTTAAAAAAGAATGAATCATTTTCCATCTATTAAATTGAACAGCAATCACCCAATATATAGCTATAATAATAATAATTATAATAAGTCTTTCTTTCAATATTTTAACTCATACATATCATTAGAAAGTAGAGAAAGAGGAAGCATCCAGGATATTGTTCAAAATACATATGCTCTTTGGTGAGCTTTGACCATGCATGTCGCCAACTTGCCAGCTACTGCTTTTCATCTCTCTCTCTCTCTCTCTCTCTCTCCACACACTATAAATATCAATCTGATCCTTTGATTCCAATCAAACAAACAAACATCTCTCCCCCTACATACATCCTCGAGTTCGTATCATTCAAAGCATAGATTGGCTCATTTTCTCTGAAAATACTATGAAGATCGCATTTATATTTCTTTGCCTTCTTGTTCCCATTGTCACAGCCCAACTTCGAGTTGGCTTCTACAGCTCTACCTGCCCGCGTGCCGAACAGATTGTTCTACAAGCGGTACAGAAGCGGTTCAACACTGACCGTTCCATAACCCCGGCGTTGCTTCGCATGCACTTCCATGATTGCTTTGTTAAGGTAAAGAGTTTTATACTACTTCATGCAAAGCTTTAAATGGCATTATTGAGACGAATTGATATCTGTCAAAATATAAATAATAAGAATATTAATGTCTCTTTTGCTAACTCTATTTTTTAACTTAAAAGTCAAAAGTCACTAACATAATTTTAAAAAATAATAAATTAAACAAAAAAAATCAAAAATTTATTTTTCACTCTACTTTTTACATATTTTTTCATAAAAAGTTAAAAAATCACTTTAAATATATTAATTTTTTAATTTTTTTTACCTTCTATTTTAGTCAAAAAATTAAAAAAATATTAAACTACTACAGTAAAGAATGATTAAAACTGAAGACAGGCTGGAAAAGATGCTGCCAACTAAGCTTTCTCACGGTGTGTAAATGTATATGCTAAAAGGAAGGCATATTGAAATGAAGACATACATATTGTTCAGTTTAAGTGGTAAGAATTTTTTTTATGACTCAATTTTTCTCCAAAAAATTTACTTGGCATAAAGGTTTTACAACGCCAAAGAGGAGAATGAGACTCGAAACTAATAATTTGGGTAGAAGGTCATTTGGTAAAGAAGTTCGTTACAAAGAAGACTTTTATCACTTGAACGGCACACAATAAGTGTGCTTTTCTTCTAATAGTATAGATATATGGATTTGGTTTTTCTTCAATTTCAAATTTGCATGCCTTAAAAAAAATAGATAACAAGTGTGATTTTAAAAATAGATTATTCATTTTTTTATGACAAATGTGACAAATTAATTAAGTTACGATTATCAGATCAATCTAATTTTTTTTTGTGAATTATTATATATACAAAGGTCTTACAAAATAAACAGTTCAGATCGTTAAAATATGACTCATGGTAAGCCCCACAGATCAAGATAGAGAAATAATGAATGGCCATTATATAAGAATTGTCATATTTACATCATTTTATGTCAGTAACCAAACAATGAAATGTGAATGAACATCTCATTTCATTTTAATCTTATATTCATTTTCACTCTTATTCTAATCTCACTTCGTATTCTTACATAATAGACATAATCTTCTGCTGGTTCAAAAAACCAAAAAAGACATAATCTTCTGTTGTGTTTGAATTATGAATTTAAATATATATATATATATATAATTAATTTATGTTTCATTTATATTTTTCTAATCTATATTTCATTATGTTTTAAATTTATATTTAAATCCATGATGCAAATTTAGCATCAATTACAATCCCACGGTACAAACTTTCTAGGATAAAAGAAATTGATGAACAACCAATCCTTTTTTTTGTCTGCCATTAAAATGTGTCCTTTCCAAAAGAAGTCGAGTGCAAACGTTGGTATTTTCATCTAATAATTTTTATTATTTACATTGTTATATATATTACAAGATTGTTTTTTTTTTAGTTACAAAATAGATATGTAAATAAATTATATCGCATCTATGTTATGTTTAATCCCAACAAACACTATAGAGACTCAAACTCAAGTTTTGTACAAAAAAAAATAAAATAAAATATTTTACCACTAAACTAACCCCTGTTGATACAAGATAGTTACTTATTGAAAGTAAAATTCACCAAATTTGTTATTAATTAATAATGCCACATTATTCCCATCATTGTGATACTAAAATTTTACTGGTAATTTCCATACTCAAAGCATCAAAGCATGTGATAAAAATAAAAAGAAAGGGAAACTAGTGGGGCCCCGTCATCAATTAGCCTCGAAGAATATTGCACGTTCCCTCTCATCATTTACAATGCAACTACTTGTGGTTGTGGCAAGGGAAACTTTTTCCCGAGAAATTGTGTTCATAAATAATAGGCTAAATTTCACTTGGAGTTGCAGCTGTGCGTTCTCTTTCATAATCTAAATTATTTATTTTATAAAATTGAAATCAAATTAAATTAAGTTTTAAATACCATTAAATGAGATCGGTTGTATAAATTTTTTTCTCCACTCGACTCCATTTATGGTTATTTCGTTAGTCAAAT